TGACATGCAGCACAACTGACGAATCCATTTGCGCCGGAAGGGGAGCGGGGGGGTGGAGACAACAGGCCGGAAGTTCTGAAGAAGGCGGCGGGGTGCATGTTCCTTTTACTACCCGGCTCTCTACCGCGGCGGTAGGAGTCGGCGCCCCGGGGGCGGCGTCCGTGGTACAGGCCGGGGCGGGGGCGGGGGCGGTTGAAGGGCTGCCGGGCTCGGGGGCGGGGCCTGGGGCTGCCCTGCACGGGGCTCCCCGCCCAGCTCTGCAGGGGCTCCCCTGGGGCCCGCCAGCGTCGCCATGAGGTTCCTGCCCCGGGCTGTGCCCTTTGCCCCCTGGCGCCGCCGAGACTGGCCCAGGTGGGCCTCGGGCTCACGCACCAGCCGCCTGCTGCCGGAGGTTGAGGAGGCAACGCCATCGTCATCGTCAACAGCATCATCAATGCCATCGCCAGCGTCAACATCGACACTGTCGCCATCGACGCCACCGCCATCATCAACGCTGCCGAGGGAGCGTGAGGATGGGCAGCGACGCATGAACCCCCTGCACATCCAGATGCTGTCACGGGCCCTGCACGAGCAGCTGTTCCCGGGCGTGCGGGTGGAGTATGCGGAGGCCGATGTGCAGCGCAGCGAGCAGCACCTGCGGCAGCACGGCCTGTGGGGCCAGGCCACGTCCACGCTGCCCGATGTGGTGCTGCGCCTGCCCCCGCTGCAGGGCGACAACTTGGACCAGCACTTCCGCCACCTGGCGCAGAAGCAGAGCCTGCCCTACCTGGAAGCTGCCGAGGAGCTGCTGCAGTGCGTGCTGCCCCCCCAGCCTGCCACCTGGGCCTGGCAGGCCGGCTGGACGCAGTACGGTCCCGACGGGCAGACGGAAACTGTGGACTATCCCAGGGAGCGTGCCTTAGTGTTTGATGTGGAGGTGTGCGTGGCCGACGGGTCCTGCCCCACCCTGGCTGTGGCTGTTTCTCCTACAGCCTGGTGAGATGGAGCGATGAGCAGAGGCAGGATGAGCCAGACCGCAGTGGAGGTGGCTGGGAGGGTGGCACAACTGCCCCATCCCTCTGCACTAAATATTTCACGCTGGCTCAGTAGGGAGTGAGTGGCTTCCAGGTGTTGCTGTACTTAGGGGACGGCTACTACTAAAGGCCACAGGCCTAGTTAGTTCAGGGAGGGAGCTCCGTTGTGGTTGCACAGCCGTGGAGATGGCAGACAAAGCAAGGAGCGTGGTAGGCATCCTTACCTGCTTCCTGACAACGCGCTCAGGAGAGGCGTATTCTGAAGGAAGACGGATATTGGTTGTAGCTGCGTTGGCCTAAAGGCATAGGCAGACACAACTCTTGGAGTAGAGGCCATATCTTTTATTAGACCAACCAAGCAGTAGCGCAAAAAAAATTTCTTTCTTTGCAAACTTTTGGGCCCAAACACCCTCTTTCAGGCAAAGGAGAATGCAAAGATTGTAAAATTTCTCCCAGGAAGACAGAGGAACTTGATTTGCTAGTTCAGCCTTTCCTTGGTTCCTCTGCCAGGGACAACAGGGGGATCCTTCTCCCAGCTGGGCATCCTGCATTGATGAGGGAATGACCGTTCTGATGAAGTGAGCTCCAGCTAGGGAAAGTTTGTGTTATATAGGCCTCTAATTTAATTAGTCTATAAGGTGCAAACCTACCCTGCCTTCCTCTTGATGAGGGAAAGCAGAGGTACCACCTTGTAAAATGCAGAGGGGCCCATAAGACCAAGTAGATCTGGGGGCTCACTGTACAGGGCTCCTAGAGCACTCATATTCCAGCTGGAATAGCTCATGGGAGAATATGCTTCTATTCCAGGTACTCCTGGTGCAGTAAGCGGCTGCTGGAGGAACGTTACACCTGGTCCAACCAACTGACACTGGCTGACCTCATACCACTGGAGACGGCTGCAGACACTAACTGTGCTGCCAAACGGGACTGGCTGGAGAGACTGGTGGTGGGTCACAATGTTGCTTTTGATCGGGCGCACATAAAAGAGCAGTACTTGATCCAGGTAAGTCCTTTCTTGGTTTTGATCTGTGTCTTCTGCTCCTGCTCTCCTTGCCTGTGTGCCATGCTTTGAGTGCCTGGATTAATTGTGCGCAATGACTTACCTTGGTAAAAAGAAAATATATTTATGTTAACTTGCTCAGGAAGTGAAAGCTTGTTCCCCAGCTAAATAACCCTTTGCATGTGTGCTTACCTGAGCTACCTCAGCAGTGGAAGTTGTATATAAATGAAACGGGCCTTTGCATATGCAATTGCATTCACCTTATTTTGAAGCTTGGTGCCTCAGTTTGCTCATAGAATGGGAGTCAAAGCACTTCTCTTCACCCCCCTGCCCCAAGGGAGCTATTCTGAGTTTTGTGAATTGCTTTGGGATTGCAGCTGGAAAGCACTCTGTCTGTACAGGGTTTCCCAAAAGCCAGTGCTTGGTTCCTTGCTGCTGTTCACTTTCTCTCCCAGAAAAGGAAAGCACAATTGTTATGTTTGGCTTTAAGCAAGCCACATAGGGCTGAGAGGACAAGTAGCACGGAATGGAAAATTTAGGGTATAGGGCAAAAATAACTTGAGTGAAGGTAGCAGGCTTTCGCTAGCACCTTGTTTCAGCCAATACAAGCCTGGATCCTTTGACACCAAATTCTAGCAGCTGACAAAAGGAGCAGCCACCTCAACTGCTGTTAGTTATACAGGTCTCAGGTCTGTCCAGCTGGTTTTTAAGAGCAGTTGTATGCGTGAGTCTGTTTCAGTGCTATCAGATGCTGTGAGCCCAGCAGTTGGGGGAGCAAGAAGGAGAGCTTGAAAGTCAAATCCTTGTCTGTTGCCTTTTTCACCATGAAAAAGGCACGAAAGCAAGCACTCCTTGCTCCAGTGACAGGCTGCTGGCTCCTCTCTGGTCCTGAGAGGTCAGTCAGTGATGCATGTCCCAGGGCATCAGCCCCCAGATGCCTAGCCTTTAACCCTCTGTGTTTCAGGGCTCTCGAATGCGGTTCCTGGACACCATGAGCATGCACATGGCCATCTCTGGACTGACAGGATTCCAGCGCAGCCTCTGGATGGCTGCGAAGTATGGCAAGAGGAAAGGATTGCAGCAGGTCAAGCAGCACATGAAGAAAACCTATAAGCAAGCCAAAGGGTCTGCAGTGAGTAGGAGGCTCAGAATGTGTGCGCGCCACTGCCTTGTGCCATAGGCCCCGACTGCCGGCCACCTCCATTTAGAGTTTAGTAGCATCCACCTTCATTCCTCCCTTAGGTGCCTTGATCTGGCCTCTCTGAAAGGAATAGGTCCAGCTGTTCTGTGCGAGGGGAGGGAGAAGAATTTGTAACATTCCCTGTTGTGCTGTTCCAGGAGAACAGCAAAGTGACTTCTCTACTAAACTGCTCCCAGCGACTCCCAGATGAAATGGGCTCTAGTTTACTAATCAAAAGTGGGGTTTTTTCCTTGCCTGCCATCCCTACACCCTGAACCCAAGCCAGGCTCCTTTTTTTCTGACATGATGCTTTCACTGGTCACTCATTCTTTGTCTCCCTTCAGTTGCTGCCCTTTCTCTGTCACATCAGATATAAGCTACTTGCCACAAGACCCTGCTAATCTAGTCCTGCCTACCTGTCTTGTTCCATTCATTATGCTAACTCCCCACTCTTATCAGCTTGTGATGCTGGTCTCAATGACAAACAAATCCTTTTGTTCTCTCTCTTCTGTTGCCCGTTTTCTAATTAGAATGGGACCTGATTTTCTACAGGTGAGAACAGTTAGATGGACAGCATCTGTGAATCATTCAAAGCCTGTTCTTTTCCTGTTGGCATATTTTCTCCCAGGATATCTCCTGGGACTGGATAGACATCAGCAGCATTAACAACCTGGCAGATGTGCATGACCTGTATGTTGGGGGCAAGCCACTGGAGAAGGAGGCCCGTGAGCTGTTTGTAAAAGGGACTATGAGCGACATCAGAAATAACTTCCAGGTAAGGGCCAGAAACTTCTAGGAAAGAGGAGCTGGGCCAAGGGATTCCTTTAACTTAACAGACAAGTCTCAGTTGGTGTGATATTTTCTAGCTGTAAAAGCCTGATTTCCATGTCTTGTAAGGATGGTTGGAGCTATACAAAGCATTCCCAATCACAGGCAGGGAGAGGGAGAGCACCTGGAGCCAACGTCTAGTTTCCTTAGGCACCATGTCTGTATTTCTGATCAGAACAGCTGCAGTTGGATCCTTATCATTGCAAAGGGGGTGCAATTCTCGGTCTGCACATGTTTACAACATGGCCATTGGTTGGGTAAGATCCAGTTGTCCTATATTAGGATGTATCCAATTCCTTTCCTAGGGATTAGGCCCCAGAGTAAGTTCTTGTAAGGCTGGCATAGACTGTGGTACTGAGATGTTTAGCAATAGGCTTTTGACAGTCATAGCTCAAACAATGGCACTCCAGCCTCAGTGAGGATTTCCTCTTGGCACTGCCACTTCATTGCTCTGTGGTTTACTTGCTGTGTAATCTCCTTGAGTGCTGCCTGTTTGTGCCCTGAAGGAGCTGATGACATATTGTGCCCTTGATGTCCAAGCCACTCATGAAGTGTTCCAGGAGCAGCTGCCCCTCTTCATGGAGAGGTGAGGAGTTTGGCCCCAGCCTCAGCAAAACTTAAATACATCTGTTGGTGAGAGCCAGTGTAGTCTGGATGCATGCAGGAGAGTTGGGTAAGTTTTGGGGTCTTGTCCTGGCAGGCTTGATCTCCTGCAGGGAACTCACATTCTGGGTTGGCCAAAAGTGTTTGAGAACTTTGTGTTGAGGAAGGCTGCAGTGGCAGACTGCTGTCAAGTCTATGGAGCAGCACTGATTGCAGTTGCTGTGGGGACTCTGATTCCTTTCCCCTGGCTAGGAGAAAATAGGAGTCATCATTCCATGCTCTGGTAAGGAGAGAAGCTTTTAATGAGAGAGATCTGTCAGTGAAGCTTCCGTGCTTGGGATTGAAGGGTCTTTTGTTTGCAAAATGGACCTCCTCCTGCCTGCCATACATACAGATTCTTATTTGGGCCCCTGGTAATTGAGGCTAAGCAGGACAAGGGCCAAAGGGAATGCTGGTTTGGGAGCTCCTACATAGAATGCTGGGTTAACCCTACAAACTTTTATCCTCCTCTCTGGCATAGCCCAGTCCTTACAGGTCATATGCTATCTGTATAACACCATGCCTCTGTGCTCTAGATGCCCACATCCTGTGACATTTGCGGGGATGCTGGAAATGGGTGTTGCTTACTTGCCTGTCAATCAAAACTGGGAGAGATACCTGGAAGAGGCTCAGGGCACCTATGAAGAGCTGCAGAAGGAGATGAAGAAATCGCTGATGAATTTGGCCAATGACGCCTGTCAGCTGCTGTATGATGAGAGGTACTAGTGGGGACAAAGAAGGGGCCTTGCAAAGAAGGGCCTTTGATTTTGTCACTTGGTGATGGAAAAAGAAAGCAAAATGTTCTCATCTGGTTAGCTAAGGAGCGTAACTAGCACTAGAATGGTAGTAATGGGTCTAGATTGTGGGTGGGATGCAGGGCAGATGTGCTTCTGTATTAGTAAGGACTGATATACTGATGACCTCAATCCAGGTCCCAGCAGACAAGTGCCCACATCCTTAGAACTGGTACTGATTCTCTGATGGCTTCAGTCCAACTCCTAACAGGCAGGCACCCACACTTGAATGTTTCCTCTGGAATTGGCACCGATTTGTCTTTATTAGAAGCCTCAAGAGGCTAAGCAGGGAATAGAAAGTGCTTTGCAAGGCTGCATGGAGGGGTGATGGCACATGCACTAGGGGTGGGGATGAGAGGAAAAAGCTAGTATTGCTGCTCTCAGCTGCCTCCTTCAAACCCTCAAGTGAACAGGGAAGATGGGAAGCAGTGCTGAGAGTTTAGGCTGGTAGGATTTCCCTAGCATGTGGGGTTGAGCAAAATGTATGGTTGTCAGAAACCAGGAAGAGGCAGGCATAACGGTGGTATGTCCCACAGGTATAAGGATGACCCTTGGCTCTGGGATTTGGAGTGGGATGTCCAGGAATTTAAGGAGAAGAAGCCGTTAAAGAAAAATAAAGATGCAAAACGCAAGGCAGCCGAAGTGGTGACAAACCCATCTGCGCTTGAATGGCAAGAAGGTAGCATCCTTGGTGTGATGGAGGGGTGGGCTCGGGGGCAATCTGATGCCAACTAGTATGAAGCTCTAGCAAGGTTCCAGGAGATTCATGCGAACGAGAGACTGATTGGTAAGTAATACTGAAACAAGGAGAAGAAGGTCAGCCTTCTAGGAGAAGCTTATTCATGTAACTTACTACCATAAGCACATGTAGGAGCAGTTCTTGTCTCGTAAGGCTGCGTTTGCCACTGGGGTGGCTTGCATGAGTGCAGAGAATGTTTCTTGCTAAGATTTACTTTTCCTGCAAGAACAGACCCTGGTCCCCCCAGTGAAGAGGAGGAGCTAGGAGTCCCTGAGAGCCAGGTGTGCCTGGAGCGTCTGAAGGAGACTGTCACATTGCTGCCCAAGAGAACCCAGCATCTGCCAGGCCACCCCAGGTGAGTCATGCAAAAGGAGAGTTGCATAGCTCAACATGTAGCTGAGGTCTCACTTTGTAAATGTGATTGCTGAACTCTGGAAATTCCACTTGGGCACCTCTTCCAAGGGCCACCGTTTTCCACCTCATTCCTGGGTATTAGGACTGTTGAAAACTAGCAGAGAAACTGAAGTGGACAGCAAGATTGTGCCCAGCTCAGCCCTTAATAGATGGGAGTTCACTTCTGTGAATTGCCACTAAAAACTAGGAAAGCATTTGCCAGCTCTTTGCTCAGGTGAGCCTGTAGGGACATTACATTGCTCCCCTATTTCTAGTGAAGACAAATGCTTCCTTTTTGTGGTCCTTCTGTACCTGTTTCCTGGGAGCTCAGTATGCATCATGTTCCACATTCAAAGGGAACCTGCCTTGTGATGCTGGCAGCTGCTGTGAGAGGTTCCCTTCACAGAAACACTTTAGTGTCAGAAGGGGATTAGCAATTCCTCTGCTCTGCACATTTTGCAGGCTTCACTACAGCCTTATGTCCCTCTGCTTCTCCACAGATAACTGCGTAAAGAGGGAATGGAGAACTCCTTCTCCTGCAGTGCAACGTGCAGAAGTGTGCTAGGCCAGAAGAGAGGGCTTGGGCTGGAGCACTTAGAAGTGTTAGCAGTGAAGGGTAGTCATTGTTACTACAGCATTAACTGAATGGGAGGAAGTCAGGTGGGAAACTGCTCTTGGAAGTTTGCTGCCCTCTCCAGTTTTGTGGTCTTTTATCTCCAGATGGTACCGTAAGCTGTGCCCACGGCTGGAGAGTCCACACTGGGTGCCCGGTCCCAGTCTCATCACTCTTCAAATGAGAGTG